CCGCCATTTTGGTAATTTTGCGAATATCAAAAAACCGTTATGCTACTTTTTAGATGATGTCTTTATGTTTCAGAAAATCTAAACAAAATCGTTTTCCTATGTTTCAGGACTTCTAAATCCATAAGGCCAGTGAGGTGTTATTTTTTGATGACCAGCCACACACGGAGCTGCCACAAACTTATTTTTGATTATTTTGTAAAAGAAAATTTTTTAAAATAGACTTAAATTGTAGCTAAATAACATAAGCAAAACAAGGCGTCACTGTATTGTCTCTATTACTTAAAAAAAATTCTTCAAGAGAAACGTTAATATTTTACTATCTCAGAGTGGTGTCCCCCCTGAAGTCAAATAAAGTATTTTGCCATTACGTTAAACAGTTACAAAAACTATATAATAGGCGTTATAATGCCAACCTTTATTAATCTTATTAAACATCATTATTTTTTTTAATATGCAAAACACTTGAGGCTTGAGTCTTTTGAAGGTTACTATTCATTAAGCACTGATACCACGATTTCCCACAACCGTGACCTAGTCAGGTATACTTATGATTTTGTTTCAACGAACCTCTAAAGCAAATTAGTGGTTTTATTTGCAAATGAATCATAGAATTTTATTATTATCTTTTCTAATGATATAAAACATTGAAATGATTTTAATCTTAAATCGTTCGATTTCCATTCTTCCTATAAGTGTGTGACGGAATTCAATACAATTTAAATAAAGGAACAATGTTATTAAACAAACAATGTATTAAATACCTCTGAGGTTATAAATTGGCTACAGTAAATATTACTATTAGTGTGTTGATTGTTCGTAAAATAAAGAATTCTTATAAAACGTTTTACTAACAACTGTGAACTGACGTTTTTTTTTTTTTCGTAACTTTTATATTATTTTATTTAAAAAAAAGTAACAGATTTTCCTTTTTTTTTTAAATTTAATTGCGCAGATTGATCCCGATTTAATTGCGCAGCTGTTCATTCCGTTGTGTCTTTCCTTTATGTTCTTCCTCTATACCAGGGGTTTCCAACTGGCGGCCCGGGGCCGCATCCGGCCCGCGAAGCCTTTTTTTGCGGCTAATTTTCGTAAAAGAACTATATGGGTTTAAAATACTTTTCTCGTTAATAAAAACCTAATTTCTTCGTTTCTGTGAAATTTAACACAACGGTGCAAAAAAATTTATTTCTCAGTTTTTGCATCCAAGAAAATATTTATTCAAATACAAAAATAATCGTGTATGTTGCTCTTTTTTACTTAATTTTTTTGTATTTTGTGAATATAATTTAGCATGCGCGTATCAGAAATTTTCTCGAAGAAATTCTCTGATTTAACTTTTTGAAACAACTCATTTTGGATGGAAAAACTTACACACACATTTGTAAATTTAAAATTTAAATATCTATTCTCTGGTGGTTGTAGCAGACAAACCTCAATTTTCTCATTGAATATTTTGTGTGCTACTATGTAAGTTTTAGTACCAACCTTTTTAAAGTTTTGTATCTTAACAATTAGATATCTGTTGCACATTAATTGTTTAATACATAGGTGCACATTAAAGTAATTGTAGCCCGAATTTTTATTATTTATTTAATATTTTTAAAAATATTATTAATAACAATTAAATATTTTTAAAAATCTACTTCGTATTTTAATTTGTAATTCAATACTTTTGTTTTGTACAACTTGGTAAAAATCTGACAGTAATATTTAATTTTCCTTCAAACATAAAAGACCTGCATAAAATTTTGATAAAGTTGAACCATTGAATTTTTAGCTTTGTCATAACTGCTTTGACTTTATGATTTTTTGACTATATGCAAGATCGAAAGTATTTGAGTATATCGTAAAAAAGTAAAGGAAGATAGTAAAGTTGAGTAAAGGAAAGTAAAGGAAGTAAGGTTGAGTAAAGGAAAAAAGTATATGCCGCTTTGACTATATGCAAAATCGAAAGTATTTGAGTACGGAAATTATTAAGGGAAAGCTGAAAAGTATTTTAAAAGTTGTGGTTTGGTCATAGATTTTAGGTCCAGTATGAATAGTAGAAGTTTTCGCCCTCTCCCGAGTTGCCACCATCTTGAATTTAATGAGAGGGAAGGGTCAAAGGAGACTTCACTATTTAGACAAGTGAGGTATTTTTCCAGTGTAACTTTTTTACTCTGAATCGAATGCGTTAAAAAATAAGTTGATATAACTAAAAGTTCAGTAGTTTCAAAGATTTTATAAAAAGTAATTATTTTTTTTTACTTATCCCTATTGAGGCGTCTGACATAGCTATCTAGACAAGTGAGGTATTGTTTTTATGTACTTCTTTTTATTAAATCAAGTCAAAGCCTTTAAAATTAATAATTTCGCATTTCTAAGGATTTTATGAGTAAATGTGTCAAAATAAGTTAAAAATTATAATCTTTAAAAATTAAACCCTTATAATGTCTAAACTATTTGTCTTATCTACTTGGTTCTCATTCATTTGATTCAGGGTAAGGAATAATCAGAAACTGTATCTCATGTGTCCAAGTAGGAATGTCAGATGCGTAAATAAGTTTAAAATTGCACTGTTTTAAAATCATCTTTATAACTTCTAAACAAGATCTATTCACTTAGTTTCAAAAAGTTACATAAATATCACTTGTCTATGAAAAAATTCTTGAAATACTTGCTATTTTGAGTCCTTTAAGGTACCGGCTAAGCGGATTAGCTGTCCTTAATTCAAGATACAGGTAAGTTCCCGTCCAGAAAAATTGAGAAAATTTCAGATATTAGAGAGATTTTGCATAGCGTTTGTTTTACATTAACCGTAACACTTAACAAGTATTGGAAGAAATTTCCTCGGTGGAGAACTATTTGATGCAACTAACCCGCGTTTGCGTTACATGGAGAGGAAAACCATGGAAACCTCCCACGGTTAGCCTGAGGGCAAGGAGACTCTAGCCCATGATCCGTCTATCACTGAGGAAGATTTTTAACGTTGCGAGTCGGGTACGGAATTCATATCGGCCAGCTATCGCTGGGATTTGAACCCGGGTCACCTCATCGGGAGGCAAGCGCTCTATCCCCTGAACCACCACGGCTCTTGGTTAGTTAATTAAAGCTTACTAATTAAATTGCGGAATCAGACACACGAACAAACTATAACTTAAGAACGAACGGGATCTTAATCCTCATAAAGAAGCCTAATTTCGATAATTCGGTTCCTATAATTTTACCTGAAGAACGAGTTTTTTTTACTTTTTGTGTTATAACTCTTGAGCTATCTCATTTTAATAATTATTTAGTTTTTGCTATTTCAGGAATTTATTACAATCAAAAGATTTCAACTTACAAGTTTGAAAAAAAACTTTATTCTATTCTTCTTAAAAAAAAAAAAAAATGCGTAATTTTGCAAGGCAAAATCTAAATATTGAAATAAGTTAATCGACTGGTTTCCGTGTAATAATTTTGAAATTTTTACTTTTTAGTGAAAGAATGTGAGTTTCATAAATGTGATTTATTTAGAGGGAGACGACAAATTTTGTACCGTAGTCAGAAAAACTACTTTTTTTGTAATTAACTACAACTATATTTTTAATTGATAAGTGATTGCATACTGCTTCCAAAATTACAATCGCTTTAAGGAGGCAAATTTTTATTCTTTAACTTTTTATGCCTTCCTTAACAGTGAATATTTAATTCAAGAAATGCTAGAAAATTATCCAACATTTGAAATAAAGTAACATTGACAGCTGTTGAGCAAAACATGTTCAGCTTTATTGAAATAACATGCACACGTATGTTCTGATTATAAATGTATTGCATTTGAAGGAGTATACATGTTATTTTATTTTATTTTATGACCGCCGTTGAACAGTCGGCCCAATTTTTTTAATATGCTAACCTTCTCTCCTTTCATATAACACAGTATACATGTTAGGAGTGAATTGATAAATTAAGTATAATTCATCGTGGCTAGATAAAATTTAAAATATTAGACAATCGAGACGTTTTCCTTGCGTTCGCTGACGGATTCACGTAAGATTTAGTCAAGTCAAATTCCCAGAAATCTCTAAAAAATGCTGTTTTTTTTTTATTACATTACATTTTTTTAAAAAAAAATATCGCATTACGCAGAAAACTACAAAACAAGTACAGCAGTAATTTCGCTATTTGCAACGCGTTCGTTCCAACCACTGATTTAATAAATTATTTAGACTAATTTGACAGTCCTGGCCAGTAATAAGCTGTTGTGCATTTGAAAAAAAAGACGACAGATTTACTTCGAGTTTAGGACTTTGTCATGTAATGACAAAAATTTTATACCATAAAATTTTTTCAATTATTCAATTAAATTATGTATATAAAAATGGCATTACATATTAAAATAAAGTATTAATTAAAAAATTTTTTTTGTACTACGATATAATTAAATAGTATTGGCGTATCATTCTTGTGCTAAATTATGTTATGTTTAAATAATGTACGTAAATGAACATCACCAATACTAGACGGTGATGTAGAATCGCGTATTTTATTTATTTATTTCGAATAGTTAAGTTTATTTTTCAAAAGCTGTATGCAAAAAAAGGTTCATCACAATCGGCCAAATCAGAAATTGAATTCGATATGAGAGTAGTTTAACGTTCATAAAATTGCAAAAAACCATCAGCTATTGTTTCATACAACTGGAAAACAATAGTCTAGTAAGGTATAATAAAATCGTCTGATAACCTTTAAACAATATTCATATTATATTTCGTTCTTAAGGAAGAACATGAACTATGTTTATGATACGTGACCTTTTCGAGACTAATTATTTAAAAGTGTGTTATCCATTTTATCTTTCTTTTTTTTTCTTCAGATTTTAGTAGGATATTTTTTCAAACATAAGATAAAAAAATTTCAGTATTAAACTGTTGAAAATAAAGAAGAAATGATCAAACGATGCAAAGTAATTGTAAAATTTCTGGTAAAACCACTTTCTCTTAATCGTCTGCACACCAAAAAGTAAATAAAACAAAAATTACTTTCGGCCATCTTGATAGGAATCTTTCGATACAAAAGGAACACCTATATTTTCCTTTCACTTTACCCTAACCCCAACCCACCTTTTCTAATGGATCGTTATTCAAGTACTAAGTAGTCACAGGTACGGAAAGAATTCTCAAATAAATAAATAAACAATTCTGTGACCGTAATCGTCTTGTGATGTTAAAAAATAAATTCGCAAATAACTTCGAAGGGCGTGCTTTCCCGGAAGTTTTTATTCCATTGTTCATTACGCGAAAGCGATTGAACCTTGGTGAAGGACGTTCTAACAGGATAGATCACCGATTAAATGGAGTTATAAGACGGAGAGGAAATTAAATCTCGGGTACAATTTTTAGGTGAAGGTCGAATCAGCACTTCAGTAGGTGGTGTCTTAGATCGTGAGAGAAGGGTGGGTAATGAATATACAGGAAATTCTCAAAGAGAAAATTTTTAATTTTAAGAAAATAAGTGATTTAGTGAAAGAAAGCATATTGGTATCGTTCAAAAAAAATTTGCCTCATTTGTTACGGATACACAAGTCTAAAGAGGGCACAAAAATATGTCATTTTTAAATTCAAATTATAAGGCCTAGAATTCAGTTGTCTCACCATACATGTTATTTTTCAAATGTATTTCAAGTGTTCTATTCTTACTTAATTGTGGACTCGATTAGTTTTGTGGATTCGATTAGGTTTGAAAACTGATTTAATGGAATGGGATTTGCGTACCGATTATGAGGTAGACACTAGTTTTAAAAACGGATCGAATAATAGCAGGTTCGTGTACCGGGAAAAATCTAGTAGGTTTGACTTTTGATAAAAACAGACTGGATTTGAAAACATTAGTGGGTTCAACAGTAGTTGAAATGCTAGCGGGTTCGAATACCGAAAAAAAGTTATTACAGGAAAGTAGAATGGTAATGAAAACTGATCAAATGAATGCAGATTAGATTATCTGTAGAAAGGTGGTGGGTTCCAGTTTTGATCAAAAAAGATCAAGTTTGAAAACTATTCCAATGATAACAGGTTCGAGTATTGATTAAAAAGTAGTGGGTCCGAGCATTGGTTTAAAGAGAGTGCATAGAAACACTGATCACACTATAGCAGGTTAGAATACTGGTAGAAAAATTATAGGTGGAATGATTATCTGCAAAAACTGTTCCAATGATAACAGTGTCGAGTAACGATAGAAAGATAATGGGTTCGACTAATGATTAAAAGAAACAAGTTTCAAGAACTGATTTAATTATAGCAGGTTCGAATTAAGAGGTAAAATTAAAGTTTAGCCTTCTACAATAAGTCGAAGAAGACTTGAAGTTACCAGGACAGCAAGCGGATACCCTCTAGACCAGGGGTTTCTAACTTACATGAGGCCGGGGGCCACAATTAAAAACACAAATCAAATGGCGGGCCGCAACTTTATCAAACTTTTATGTAGGACTTTTTAATGTTTGAAGGAACATTAAATATTACTGTCAGATTTTTACCAAGTTGTACAAAACAAAAGTATTGAATTACAAATGAAAATAAGTAGATTTTTAAAAATATTTAATTGTTATTAATAAGATTTTCAAAAATATTAAATAAATAATAAAAATTCGGGCTACAATAACTTTAATGTGCACCTATGTATTAAACAATTAATGTGCAACAGATATCTAATTGTTAAGATATCAAACTTTGAAAAGGTTGGTATTAAAACTTACAAAGTAGCACACACAATATTCAATGAGAAAATTGAGGTTTGTCTGCTGCTACCAAAAGAGAATAGATATTTAAATTTAAAATTTACAAATGTGTGTGTAAATATTTTCATCCAAAATGAGTGGTTTCAAAATGTTAAATCGGAGAATTTCTTCGAGAAAATTTCTGATACGCATATGCTACATTATGTATTCACAAAATACAAAAAAAAAATAAAACAAAAAAGAGCAACAGACACGATTATTGAATAAATATTTTCTTGAATGCAAAACCTGAGAAATAAATTTATTTGCACCGTTGGTATGTTCAATTTCACAAAAACGAAGAAATTAGGTTTTTATTAACGAGAAAGGTATTGTAAACCCATATAGATTCTTTACGAAGATTGTCCGCAAAAAAGTGACAACTAATATATTTCAGTTCGCGGGCCACGAAAAAAGGATTCGCGGGCCGGATGCGGCCCCCGGGTCGCCAGTTGGAAACCCCTGCTCTAGACGTTCTCCAGTTGGTAAGAAACACATAACAAAAAAAACAAAAAAGAAATCTCGCTAAAAATATGCGAAAAAATCAAGGAAGTGCAAAATCGCCTTAGTAAATTAAATAATCAATTCCATTATATTTTATATATCACTACATTTTATTTTTTTAATTATGTTACAATACTCAATTTATTTAACAGTATTTAGTAGAAATCTATAAAAATATATTACGTGTGATCGTTACAGAACTACTTGTATGCAATATGTACAGATAAAATATATTTTTAAAATTGTGCCTATTCTATTTATTGCATTTATTATTCTACTATTGAGAGAATCAAGGTTTCTATAACCTCCATAATAAATTAAGTATTTACGGACTTTTATATATATAAAGTAATTAAATCAACTTTTCATGCTCTCATCATTGCAAAAAAAGTAATTCAATTAATATTGTTTTACAACAAATGCTTTCAAACTTAATTTTTTTTATATAGTTTCATATAAACTTATTTTAAGATTCAAGTTAACTCCGGGGGTTCTCAGTCTGAACTGATAAAATTTTAAAAAAAACAGTCAAAAATCACATTATAACTTTCAATTGTTTTCCTAATTCACTTTTAACCAATTCTCTTTGAACCAGATATCATTTATATAAAATCGGATATTTTTAGAGATTAATGTTAGATTTCAGGTGGATAAATATCATTTAGAGTTTAAAACAAGTGACACAAGTCATTAAGCAAATTCATTTTGGCTCTAACGAGTTTTTTATTACTTTAAAATTTTAAAAATACCAATTATTTCATTTACAAGAAATTATAACTTTAAAGGGTGATAACATTTTTGAATACTCTTATTGTTTCGGTATAATTTCTAAATTAAAATTTCTAATAATCTAAAATTTCTAGAAACTTCTTGTTAATTTCTAAAATAATCTTCACAAAAAAGTTTATATTATTTTTATCAAGATTGATATAATAGAGAACACCACTAAAATAAAACAGGTTAATGTTTTCTCACAATAAAACTCAAATAGAATTAATTATTCAAAATACTGTTCCAATAAAACATACTATTAAAATCTTACTTTTTTTGCTATTGTTTCATTAATAAAATAATTTTATTTCTTCGCAAATACAATTCCTGTAATTTTTTTTAAAAACAAAAAAGCATCCACACTAGGTTTTTAAGAAACAATTATCGCTTGATTCAAATTAAAAGCACAGCGAAAGCCTCTATTTTCTAGTTTTTACTTGGTAAGATTAAGTTTAAGTGAATGCTATGTGCAAGTTGCAAAAGAAGTTAAAGACTCACAAGCATGTTGGTTAGTTAGCTCAATTTCTAGTACAATAATTAAAAAGTGCAGTATTTCCCAATAACCGCTTTAGTAAAAAATAAAAGTTTACCGCTTTAGTACAAAATGAGCCGACCAGGTGGCCGAGTGGTTAGCGTGTCTGATTGAGGAGCCATAGGCCGCGGGTTCGAATCCTGCTCAGGGCATGGATGTTTCTTTCTCTCTGTGTTATATGTCCTTTCGCCTTTGTGTGAATGTGACCCGCCTTATAAACGGGTTTGTGGTTGTGTGACGTAAGTAAATTTTTTGCATCCACATATTCTATCTAAAGATATTATGCCCTGTTTTCAACGAACTTCGAAATGGTTATGCTCATAAAATTGTAAAATTCGAATTTTTTTTATTGTTGCATAGTATAATTTTACGGACAAAAAAAGGGGCATTTTAATCAGGGGAGTTGATGTTAATATATATTGTAAATAAATACAAAAAGACTTTTAAAATTTCTCCCTGCGATTTCTTTTTTTTTTCAAAGAAGCTTTTAAAGTGAACATCTATGTCCTGCAAAATGCTAATTTCTCCATTTGAGAAAAAGAGTAAGTCCATCGGCTTAAAATATAAGATTCAGACATTACAATTACATACATAACTACAATTACATCGAATTTACAATATATTTTACTAATTTTTGTTAATAATTCTTAAAAATAAATAAATAAAAACTAAAAAGTCAACTAAAAAATTTTTATTAGGCATTTGTAAATGAATTTTTCACATAATTTAGAAAAAATGCGACCAGAATATTCCCCTGATGAGACTTTAAAATTTTCCCGATGGGGGAGAGGGGGCTGGCCATGCGACAGGGGTGCAATTGCCCCCCTGACCCCGGACTGGCGCAGCCCTTGAGTGCAATATCTAACCAGCATTGAAAGGGTTAAAATGGCCAGGTATTCCTAAAGAGCAAAACATAAATTATGATTTACAGAGGTGGAACAACAAATGCTGGATGAAGTTCAAATGTCATTGAATAGATTATCCTTGTTACTATTAAAAACAATGATACTGATAGCAAGTAAAAAAATTTAGTTTTTTCCATCTTGCTTTCATATGACGAATGGGACTGAATCCTATCATTTATTTAATTAATATTTAACACATTCCAGGAACTCTTATCAGTTATAAAATTGATAACTAACAAATGAGGGTGGTCCCTACACAACACTTATACCACTGGGGAAAAAAAAAAGAAAAAAAACGAAGCAGGAGTTTAAATAATTTATGGGCCATGTACATAATTTCAGAGTTTTTGTTGGTTTTTTATTTTTAGTTTTGTTACTGATCATATCGAGTTGTCAAAAATTTAATGAGAACTAATTCAGGTGTTTTGAACATTGTTTTGTGCTTTCTTTTTCCAATAGTGTATGAACTACAGAGTTAAAAAAGTCTGCTTGTGCCTTTTTTATTTTAGACTCCTGCATTTCCAATACCAAGAAAAAACAAAAAAAGCTAACAGGCTTTTTCATACAGAAATGAAGAAAAAAATTTATAAGAACAGGGTTGCCACTTAAATCTGGAGAAAAAAACTTTCCCTGCACATATTATACACAATGTATTAAATAGGAAAGAATTACTTGTATGGGCTATATTGGGCTAACTATACTAGTTTTAATTGTTGTAAAAACAGAGTAAAAAAAGAACAGCTGAACATACTTAAATAATGCTACAGTAAATGAAATAGTTTAGTATAGCTGAAATATCTTCCTTAAATTACCCTTTGAGTGGTCACTATTTTTCAAAAGACGAAAATAAAACAACAAAGTTTCCTGTATTTTCCCAGTTTCTAAAGAAAAACTCAAAATTCCCAGCTTTTCCCAGTTAATTTTGGTGATTTTTAAATTCCCTGTATTTTCCAGGTTTTCTCTGTTATCCCTGCGGAATGGCAACCCTGAAGAAAATGTGAAAATAATTGTTAATAACAGAAATTAAAATGTATCATTTATATTTAAAAAATTGATGGTGCGTTTTTTAAGCATTTAGGAGATTATCAGCAAATTCGCTGATCTGTGCTTTGTGGGTAACTCAATTCCGCAGATAATCAAGGAGTTTACTGTATTTTAAAAAAGTTATTTATTTCAAATTTTTTTAAATAATATTATAAACAATAAAATGAAATAAAATATATATTATAAAAAATATTTTCATCATTTATTCAATAATGAAAAAAAAAGGATAAAAATAAAAACAACCCATTCCTTTAAAATATTTATTAGTTCGCAAGGAAACAGAATTTTACATCATGAAATCAGAAACAAAATTACCTTACAATTACAGAAATTTTGTCCATAATATCATGTTATTTTTCATGTATACAATGAAAAATTGTTAATGTATCTTTAAAAATATCTCTAATTACCATGAAGGATTTATCACATATTATTTGGAACCTGACATTTCCATTAATTTCTTCATATTGAACTCAATAACCAACACGAATAACAAAAATAGTTACCATTGTAGTTTTACCTTATCAGAAAATAATAAAGCTAAGTACAAAAAATATGTAGAAAAAAAAACTTTACAAATATTATTCTTAATAAGTACAGAAAATGTTCATAGAAAATACTTATATCAATGAAATTAATACGTCTAAGTCTATCACTAAATGCAATAAATTTGTTATGTTTTGAAAAATTAGACTAAACTAGAATAGCCCCCGAGAGGAATTTTATTAATTAATATCAATGAACTTTCAAAGCTTAGAGCTTAAACTTTAAAGTAGAAGGCATATTAAAAACACTGATTTGTTTCATTAACTAAGCTGTTATAAAATGTATACAGACTTTAGAAAAAGTTATGGCAATTTTAACCTAATTAATTCTAATGTATTTTAATTTTAAAAATATTTGCACACATTACTGATATTGCATTTAAAAACCAAATGCTTATATTACTGATAAAATATTATTACTGTTTAAAATGGGAATAAATGAATTTTCATCTTTCAACATTAAATTAACATACAAGTAATAATTTTGCACTCAATCTTATATATCTGCTATATAATTTATCTATACATTCACTCAAAAAAAAAATTTACTTTAAACAAATTCAATTTTAGATATTTCTATAAATACATGTCTCTTAGAGCTTTAACAAAAAGTCATACATAATAAAAATAGCATTTTTCTGGCTGGCAAAATTTTTTCAATTCAATTTTAGATATTTCTATAAATACATGTCTCTTAGAGCTTTAACAAAAAGTCATACATAATAAAAATAGCATTTTTCTCGCTGGCAAATTTTTTTTTTTTTTATGAGTAATGATTTCCCATTCAATAGTTCTGACAATTAAGAAACTTATTAATTCCAACGATTCGGAATAAAATTAATTGCAACTTTGAAAAGTTCAGTATAAATCTTTTTAATTTTGTTTGTTTATACCATTACTAATAATTTTAACAAAAAGTATTAAATAATAATCAAACTTCAATAACTCGAATAACTGTGACTCGATTTTTGAGTTAATAATAGTAATTTTAAGATCAATCTGGGTAATAGGGTTTTAATTCTACTATTTTTCCAATAAATTTTGTTCGCCTGTATTACTCATAATTGTAACGGAAATTGTTAAATGTAATAAAATAAATATATAACACTATGTTATACACTAGTATAGTGTTCTATTAAGACAAGTTTAAGTTTCCAGCCAAATGCATAAGCTAAAACTTAAGACTATTTTTCCATTAATCAAAATTCAATAAGTCATTTTTTTTTATTATCAGAAGTAATTATTGCTTCTGAAAAAATTTTTAAGAAGGACTTCTTTCATAAAAAAATAAATGAATAAATAAAATATTAAAAAAAACAACAACTTGGAAATTTTGTTAATTTGAATTATTTTTCAGCCAAGACTTCCAGGGGAAAAAATAATTTTACCCAGAAACTTACCCATAATTTCTGTCCATTTTTACGGTAGTTAAAACCTCTTTTATGAGTTAAGTTCGCAACTCTTTTAAAAGCCATACTTAAATTTAAAAAATAAGGGGAAAAAATTGTTATTTTCATTTTATAGCTATCAGACATCATATATAGCAGTGGGGTCTAATCTGAATCCCTTATATTCATCTTTATTGGTTCTTGTCCTTCTTACTGAGTGATCTTAATGCAACATTTAAAAAAAAAATAGTTTATTCTTCTAACTACTTTAAGTAAAGTAATAAAACTTAGTCTCCCCCCCCAAAAAAAAAGTTTACATCAGCGGCACCAGACAATTTTTGTGATCGTCAGGCAGACGTTTACTAAAAATTTTGATATTCCTGAAAATTTCTGTAAGATGAGTTCTAAAAAACATTTCCCTAAACTTATTAAATTCCCTCTGCAAATCTCTTAATATAAATTTAAATATTAAACAAATTATATGAATAATTTCGTTTTCCTTCCTATGTCCCTCACAATCCTATGCTAAAGTTTGGTTGATCCATGGCAAACTAAACATTGGACTACACACTGATTTATAGAAAATGTGGTCTTTAGTGAACTCAAACATTTTGGAGAGTTTTTAAAAGAAAAAAAATCTCAAAAAGTTCGTTTTTTTTTTAAATTTTACCTAAACTACAAATTTTTACTATAAATAATATTAAAAAAATGTTCCTTTGTTAAAACATTATACCAATATGCGAAAATAGTTTGAAAATTCCACTTTTTTTTCTGGACTTACACTACTACTTTGAGTTATTGAAGTTTAAAATAAATTAAGAAAGTCGATTTTTTCTAACCAGCAATAAATTTATATACATGTAATGATTTTCCATTTGTTAAATACCTAAAATGAAAGACATTCCCCTTAATTACTTTTCAGGTAACAAGGATTTTAAACATATAAATCCAAAAAAAGATTTATTGTGATTACCATTTAAACACATACTTCTTTAAAATAGTAAATTGAAGATTAACTTTTACAACAAAACTTAGACTTACAAAGTCTAAAGACATAACATTATAATGAGAAACAAATCTCTGAAATGTAACTAGTACAAACAACTTGTGCATCATAACCCTGGAGTAATTTTAAGCATAGCATGCCTTTGAACTTGAGTGCTATTATACTTCCCAAAGCAAAAACAGAAATACGGTTAATTCACTTTAATTTGCGGCGTTTACCCTTAGTTGTTTTGGAATTTTTACGACGTTTATTAGGGGAACTTGTCTCGCCGTTATTAAATACATCAGATTCTTCAAGTATTACATTATGGTCTACAGTATCTTCTAATCCATCAAGCAATTCAGGCTTTTTATCAGGTAATATGTCAGGAAGATTGTCAGATTGATCCAATTGATCAAGAAAAGGTGATCGCAATTCATCTATATCCACTCCAAGCATTTGAGGGGTTAATTGGATAAGTTCATCATCTAGAATAGAGAAATTCATGATAGGCTATTATTCATTGGGAATAATTTTAATTCAAAAAAAAATTTTTAGGACAGTGGGAGGAAATTTAGTTTACTGTCATAAAATTGCAAGGAAATTAAATGTGAAAAATTTTTTTTTCCATTTTCTTAAATCAAAGTGCTAATAGGAAGAAAAAAATAAAGATTTATAATTAGTTTTGAGTTAAATTTGAATATAAAATATTGAAATTAACATTAAAAAAAATATTGAATATATATATAAATAGTGGACTATCAATATAATGACTCGAATGGTACGAATGAAAAGAAACCTTACATTGTAAGGTTGTTATATTGTGAGTGCACAAAAATACTGTAAATATTAACAAATTGCTAACAAATGCTTTACTACAAAAATAATTTTGTAACAATCAAGGAAATTTTATTATAATGCAACTTTTTTTCTACATTAATATATGAAGTATTAATTTTAAGTATTCTTCAAAATAATGCTCAAAAAGTGAAAAATATGTGAATAATATGGGGGTTAGCGGTAAATTTTGATTCAATGCCATTTTCAATAAAGAACATACATCAAGATAACTGCAAAAATAAAGTTTTAACTCGAAAATAAACCACACAAGGGGACTGATATTTCTTAATAAAGTATGATTGATAAATTTATTGTATTCTTTGATAAGAAAATTACACAGATTATAAACGACCAAAAATTACAGCTCCTTAGGATGCAGAATAAGAAAAGGTCATGTTAATTTACCTCCATTAAAAATATATGTATATATATATATATATATATATAAGGTGTTTTGCATTTATTGTGTGATAACATCGAAGGAAATAGTGGTTTAAATAATTTCTTTTAGTCTCTTTCAAAATCAAATGACTAAAATTTGGTCAATATATTTTAAGGAATGATTCAGCATGGATGTTCTAACGAAAATTAAAATAACACTGCATCTACGGAAAAGTAATTAGGACCTTATATATCAGCCATAATAATGGGAATGTCACTGTAATAGAAGGCCGTACTAAAGAGTGTCGACTATATATATCATATATATATATATTAAAAAAAGAACTCTCTCATATCAGCCCAAACGAATAAAGTTAATAGGAGACACCATTATTTTTATATGATTTTACATAACAAAAAAGGAAAAGTATGTCTAAATAAGTTCCACCTTTAGTTTTTCAGATGTAAAATTGTATACTTTTAATTTTTCAATTTGCTTTAATCTTTGTATATGTTTCATGAACCTGTTATAATAATTAGGAAATTTAAATTTAAAACTTAATCAATTATAGGATGATTCCAAGTGAAAAAACAAGAAAAATACCATATACCACATTTACATTATATTTTTGCGAGGTTTAAGAAACTTTTAATAGTATTTCTCATTAATGAAAAACAATAATACAAAAATATGAAAAAAAATTAATTATTAAAAATACATTTTTAACCAGAAATAAGTTTTCTTCTCTTTGAATACATATACTAATAAAATAATTTTATATAATATACTAAAATGTAATATATTGCAAGGGATAAGCTTGAGTTTACACTCCCCGTTTCCACTAATTTTTAATATATTTCAAAAAGGTCAATCTGAACTATTATGAGACCAAATTTCCAACTTTCAAGGTACTTTTTCTTCAATTTTATCTAAGTCAAAATGAAACATACTGTAATCTTCATATTATCAATCTGTGTTTGGATAATAAAAAAAATATAAGTCATTTGAAAAATAAAAGTCTATACTATAGGCTATATTAAATAAAGTATTAAAAGTCTTAACAGTTTAAATTATATACCCAACTTATGTTGAAGGAATGTAATTTTTGAATAAATAGATATCTCACCTAAAATATCTTCTGGCTCTTTTTTAATAGATATGCCATCCTGCAAATAGAAAAACAAAGAGTTTATATGGATAGAGAAAATAATAAATTGAACTACTTTAAACATTTAACTGTTAAAAATAATACACATCAACTTCAAATTCTGGAATACAAATTTTGAAGCATTTATTCTGAACCGTTATCCTTTTTATTTCAAACTAACAAATAAAATTCAAATTTAATCTGTGCATTTGAACCTCGATCCATCGTTCCTGCGTCTTTTATTTCCTATGTGTATCTTCACGTTTTAATGGTCCATCACAAATGCTATTCTTAAAATTTTAATAGTAATACATATTTAAATTGTTTTTGAAACCAGCCAATTAATATGTCTATGGTTCAGCAATTCTACCGGCATTTCACAATATCAAAGTTTTTCATTTTGAAACAAAAAAGAAGAAAAATAGTAACTAATGATGAAGAAAATAAGGACTCATTATAGTTTTATGAAAATATTGAAACTTGTGGTGCTATTGATTCAAGAAACGGGTGCAAAAGCTGAAGAAGTGCAAAGTGATAAAAGATAATAAAGGCGAAAGGGAATAAAAACCAGTTCCAAAAGTGTCAGCAGGCTTTAAAACAATGAGCAATGTTCTGTTTTCTTGCGAGTGTACCAAAAATAAACAGCACTCTGTGACTGTTACAAATATTAAACATTTATTTTTTGCACTGAGAAGAAAAGATTGTATTTATACCAAAATTTTCAAGCATTTTAAATAAATAAATGTGTTCATTTTTTTTGCATAATCAGTATTTTTGCATTATTTGCTTTCAATAAAATTTTATTTGATATAAACTTATTAATGTTCAAGTTCATTACTTCTTTATTACATCTCATACACTTTCAAGTCATTACTTAATATTTTATGTTGTCCATTCAGGGTGCGTAGCGAAATTATTCAACAAAAAATAAGCACCTTTTAAGCACTTTTCAAGCACTCAAAAAATATTTTTAGGCACTTCAAAAAATATAATTAGGTAGGATTGGAAAGTTTTTGACAATTGACAGTTTTATCCTGTTTTAACTGTCATGTCAAAAAAAAAAAACTTTTGGCATTGTTTTTGACAGTTGTCAAGAATCGTGAAATTTTGAATGATGTAAAGCGAATGGCGTTTTCATACGCTATGGACTGACAATACGCCAAAACAGATTGGGGTTGAATTTATTGTGAAAAGGTTGGATAGAACAATGTGAACTGCATCTTTTCGTAGCAATCCGTGCATAATTCATAGCGAAAATCAACATGGTAAAGGAAAAATCTCTTTTTAAAAAAGGGAAAATAAAGCACTTTTTAAAAACACCCAATGAAAAACAGCACTTTTAAGGGCTTTTGAAAAACGAAAATCTAAAATAAGCACCTTTAAGCACTTTTTAAAAACGCTACGCATCCTGCCATTTATTTCATAAACATAAAACTTTTCTTTTATGTTTTTTTTTGGTTTGTTTGTAGTTATAATAAACAAATAAAATTATCATACAAGTAACAAGTTTATTGCATCATTTTCTGACAGTGGATGTTCAAAAATACTTTTCTTCTGTAATTTATTGTTGATCTCTCAAGCCTCTGAAAGCTTTAAACTTTGTTGCAAGGTATGAAAAATCACATGAACTAAACGCTTCTAAAGTTACAAAATAGTATTTAAGTATTTTAGAAAAAATATTTTAAAAAACATAAAAAACTGATTGTGTCTCCTCCGTTATTGTATTGTAGTGTATATGAGGTAAATTTTTCATTTTTTAGTAGGAAAATAAATAATTTTATTTATTAAATTATTTTTATATTAAATTTAAAATATTCTTATAATACTTATTGCTTAATAATTAATTGTATAGAAGTCCTAGAAGAAATCCAACACTGGATTAAAACAGATTACACTTTGACTATTTCTTTTTCAAACTCTAAAATCATTTTTTAATAACCTTGTAAATTAGTTGATGCTGCTTTGAGACACATAGCTAATAAAATATAAAGACTAATTGTATTTAAATTTTTTGACCCCAAACATGAATCCGGCAGAAATTGTGCATATATCTGCTAGCTGTAGGCTATTTTTCCAGTCAATAGTTTTTATAAACAGGTCAACAATTTAGAAATAGCAAGGACTAATGCCCAAAAGATAACAAAACTAAAACTACATCATTTGAAATATAATAAAATAGTTTAAAGGAACTTACAGTTAATTGATCAACAAATGAGTCATTGCTCACCATGCCATCAGAACTGAATAACTGCAAAAGAAAAAGAAAAATTTAAAAAGAATACACACAAATAGTTTCAAATAAAATAATATTTTTCAATTAAATATAAAAAATTATTAGTTATAATAACTAACTTATTAGAAGCATAAAAGAAAAATTAAAGAGTAAATATATTGTAGAAAAAATGAAGCTTAAATTTTGCTTTTTGAATCACTAAAATTTAATAAACTATTTTTTTTTCATTTATGTAATGGCAACAATATAAAAATTACTCAGAAACTCAAGAAGTATCCAACAGGGGATAAAATTTTAACCTCAAGAAAAAAAATAAGGCAACTCCATAAAATTGAAAAGCTATTACTGTGTTTATCATAAGTTTAAGCTAAATAATGCGGCTTTGTAGCTTCTAACTTTAAAAATAAAACAAAAATAAGTTTTGTTTATTTTATTTAAGTATACTTATTTGTTTAAAAAAAATTCCAAAAGTCATTTTGCTGTAAAAAAAAAACATTTTTTTGGAGAGTGGGTGAGAAAAATTTTAAATTTCACAACTTTATTAATTTATTTTTCTGATATGTCGATTACTTAAATTCAAATATTACTATTTTTTTTTAGCAATCTAGACTTTAAAAATCTTCTATGCTATTTCGGAGCTTATATCTAAAAATATCTTTTAATATTTTATCTGATCTTCCAGGGTTTATAGTGTCTAACGTGGCAAGGTCAATGTGATTAATTTTCTAATACTAACTATCATTCATTCTAACAAAATTAAATAATTTTTGTAAGTTAATCACGCCAACTGGTTATCAACATTAAAACTTAACATAGTAATAAAAAGAAAATCTTTATATTAATAATTAAAGGTCAACAGCTGCTAATAGTTAAAGAAGTAATTACTACCATGCAATTATTTTTAAAAGTAATTACCAAATATTTTAAAAATACTGGTTGCTATATATGAAATAAAAATTATATCTATCAAATGGTCAATTATAGCTTAGTTAAATTAATTTACACACCAAGTAAAACTAACATTTATTATCATCTACATAATACATCTATTAACATCTACATAATGTTTTTACACTAAAACATTTTATAATACCTAAAAAATTGTCCCAAACATTTAACTTAAATTTAGATTTACTGAGAAAATATAATTGTTTTCTCAAAACATACCCCTAATAATTTATCTGTATCCACATCCCAAGAATTTGTAGCAATGTCTTGAAGCCTGTTCAACTCTTCTTCGACAATCAACAAGTGATTTGAAAAAGTATTTCTAAAATAAAAATAGTTAAGATTCAAAGTAAGTAAACACTCATAAATAAATTTAATAAAAGATAAACAATTTTTCATTTTACTCTTTCAAAGAATGAGCTATTCGGTCACTAACTTCTTCCCATGAACGTCCTCTAAAATTACAATATTGTTAATTTAACTACATTTATTACATTGAATATTGTTAGAAGTGAATCAAATTACAGATGGATTAGAAATATTTTAAGATCAGGCAAGTAGCTTGATAATGTTAGTCATTGATGAAACTAATAAAATAAAAGCTTATTTTTTTTAAGTGTGTAACAGAGAATACTTAAAAATAAGTCTTCTTATTACATAAAAGATTTAACAACTTGTAATAAATTACAGACATGCTTTTTTATATCTGATGAAATTAAGCAACCAATTTATAAAAATTAAGTTTCATGCAAGTTTAATAGAATTATATAAAGTTTTAATTTTTAAAATTCAGCTAAACATATTAAATTTTTTAAAAAATTTATGTAAAGAAAAAAAATAAGACAACAGTTCAAATTTAGAATATATTTTTGGATTTAGAATTATTTTTATTATTTAGAAAACTAGAAAATATACCCTAATTATAATAGTAAAAACAAATTTCTATTTCAGGAGGAAAAAAATTTAAATTTTTTCTTTTGTTCAGATTTTTTAAAAATTAAAACACACAAATAAATGAAAACAATATAATTATACGATATTATAATATAGGATAATAAAATTATTGATATAATAATTGGTTGATATTATGCACATATGCTAATCTTTTCATGGTATAAGAAAATTTACATGGTGAGTAAATAAAAAAAGACAATTATGTTTTTAAATGAAGTAAAAAAAATGTAGCCATTGCCACATAAAGAGAAGATACATGTTGAGAAATTGCAAAACACAGTAACAGAAGCACCATTAAATTTGATTAACTAAGAAAATAAAAAGGTATGTGAAAGTAAACTTTATTAAATTAAAATTTTTATCTTGTTACAGGTATCCCTCATCCACTAAAACCTTCTATAAGATTACACCTTCCTCTTTTAATAATATATTGAAATCACAACTTATTTAATACTATTAACCATAAGTATTTTTTAAATGAATAAATTTCTGGAATGCATTCTATTTTATTAAATTAAACCGTTCATATACTCAGATCCTGAACCTCTGTTTAAATGTAGAACTCTCCAAATGTAGAACCCCAGGGCGAAATTGTATAGAAAACTACTCTGACACTGAAAAACAAGCTTACTGCCCAATCACTTAAAAAATATACAGATTGGAAAGAACAGCTAACATTTTTAAACTCCTCAAACATGTCAACCGTTATTAAGCAAATAATGATTTTTAATCAAGTAAAATCTTATTACAAGTAAATCAGTTTCTTTGGATTATATTATAAGATTACTACTCATTTTCTGATTTAAAAAAAAGACACTGCTTGAAGGTTTGCAAAAACCTGGACTAAAGCTTAGGAGGTTAATAACATATCAAAAATATTAATTAACTCAAAGTTATTAACAAAAATTCTTATAAATGTGCAACTAGCAATACATGAAAATTTCAAATTTTTCTAATAAAATCAATAAGGTTAAGGTGAAAATCTTGATATTGATTAGATAACATTTTGACATCATTTAGCATATTCTTGAGGTATAAAATTTTATATGCACCGTAATCCATCTATCATCCTTATAAATTCTTTTAAATGCTATGCAAATAAAAGTAAATTAATTAAAGTAAATTAGCTAGTTGAAAAATAAATTGAACTATTACAATCACAGTGAAAGATAAAACTATTACAATCATAAAAGGATGTTTTGATTTTTACCGATTTGGTTTGTACTGTTTTTAAAAGTTATGAGAAATAAATAGGTATTTCTTTTATGCCTAAGTCCTCATTTTAGAGGTTTTGATAATGTAGGATTAATGTCAAAGAATTTGAGATTGCAAAGTTTCCGCTTAAAAAATTGAAGTGGTGAAAAACAAAAATTTACTGATTTTATTAATTTTCTTTTTATAATTTCACTCGGCGAATTCATTTACACATAATACCATGTTAAATATGTATTTATTTATCCCAATAGATTAATATACTCATAAACATGCATCTTACTTCAAATTATCTGATTTAGTTGAATTAGAAGCCACAGATGATATAGGATAATCATGTTCCCGTTCAGCTATACTCATTTCAGCATCCTTTTGAGAGTTTGCAAGAGTGAAATCTGGTGCTACCTCTTCACCCAAACTTACTTGAGGAGTATTCAAAGAATCTGACATTAATGGATCCATAAAATCACGTTTCGAAGAGACATTAAGAGGACTTCTTATATTGTCTAAAGAATTCGCTTTCAAGTCAATGAGGCAAGATGTTGGATCATAGAAATCTGAAATTGCTAAAGAGTTCTCAGTTTTATCAGACTTTGTAGTTTCAGGAATATTACAAGTCTTTTTTACTTTTTGGGAATTTGCACCAGCTATAATATCACTAATATCACTTCCTTCAGGAATAGATATGACATTACTGATTTCAGTTCCTTCAGGTATTGAAATAACATTACCGATATCAGTTCCTTCAGGAATTGAAATAACATTACTGATATCATTATCTTCAGGAATCTTAATATTGTGGCTAATGTCATTACTATCGGGAATCGTTATAACATTACAGATGTTGATTCCATCAGGAACTGTTGTAACTTCACTAGAGTCCTCTTTCTCTGGAATTGAGATTACATTTTTGATTATACTTTTAGCAGGCATGGTAATAATGTTTTTATTTGAAGCTGCATTAAAAGCATTAGCAACATCACTGGCTGTTATGTATTCCAGAGGTATACCTAAAACTGATTCTTCATTGTTATCAGCATTAACAGTTGGGGAGCTGGAACAAAATAAACCAGAAAATCAGCTGAATAAAATAAATTAGAATACATAAACAAGAATCCGATTATTTTAAAGACACTCGTATATAAAAGAAATCATGCTTGACACAAAGGTTGTGGCACAAAGGTAAAAACTCTGAAAATTTTATGTGACAAAATCAATATCAATTTATATACCATATAGGTTCTACATTTCATATAACTTTTTGAATTAACATTTATAATTAAATTACCTACTAACGCAGAACCTTTAGAGTAATTAATTCAAGGAAAACTTACTTCTTACAAGAATCACGATATTGGATTTTAAAATCGTGTGAGTATGAATCGTGATATTTCATTTTTAAAAAAAGGCGAAAATACAAATTACGATACAAAATTTTTAAATCACGTAAATACAAATCACTTGGCAAAATTTTTAGAAATCACTGCTTTGATTTCTTATATATGCTGTGTAAATTTTGTCTTTTAAATGAAATTATTAAAACAAGAAATGCAATTAAAATTGAAGTGGCCAGATTTTATATTAAAAAAAAAACTCACATATAATGAACTTTTAAATAAGAAATTAAATTATAACCTTACCTTGTCTGCAGTGGCTCCAGAATACTTAAAGGTAGTCCACACTCAACAGAACTACTCAAACTGGAGGTTTCAAGTAGATTTTCATTAGTATTATTAATTGAGTTTTTATTTTCTCTAGGAGGGTTGATAGCAGGAGAAAGAGATATAATGTTTGGGTTTTTGCTAATGGAGACTGGGGTAAGGGTTTTGGATGAAGAGGCTGTATTACAAGTTTCAACACTTAAAGGTTCTTCCACTTCAAATTCTTCAACTTCATGGATGACAGGTATAGGGGAATTTTTATCTTGGACCTAAAATATATAATGATATAATGAAATATATAATGATTGATTAGATACTGATAGTGAGTCAAGTCAATGACTAGACTCACTATCAGTATCATAAATCAAAAAAAAAAAAAAAAAGAGTTGATGCACACAGTAGCTTCATGCTTTTAGCAATATTGAAAAATCAAATTTTTACCAAGCTAATTATTTTTTGTACAGCTAGATTATTATACATGTAAAATCATAAATCATACATTTTTACTACACAATTTAATTAATAACCTCCAATACAAGATAAATAAAAAGGGCAATAAATAATAAAAAATTTTAAAAAACACCCTGAATAACTTTTGATCAAATGATGGAATTTTTCTGTACCAGAACTTAATCTTAAAGGTTCAACGGCTTAATCTTAAATGTGCTAATAATTACGATCTTTTGAATTATAAATTCAGACGCAAAAATGCACTATCTTCCAAAATTTGGATTTTTGCTACAACTTAAAATATGGAAGGTGGTTCTAATCTGCAAATGTATAACCAATAGTTAAGACCAGAGAACAGTTAAAATATTAAATTCAGTTTTTGTGTATTTTGCCATAACTCAGGAAGTAATAAAGTAAACAAAAAACGCTTTGCACACAATTGACTCCCATGCAAAAAACTATTTTATATAATTATTTTTAATTTTGTATTATTTTACTAACTATTGGAGAAAATATTTCGTACTTTAAGGCCCATAAGCAGAATATTTTCAAATGTTCTGCAACAGTACTTATTAATTTATACTAATGTTCTGCAAGCATTTTACAGCGAAAAAAAGACAACTTTACGTTAAAATATACACTACATTATTTTTTAAACCAAGGCAAACACAAAATTTTAATAAAGACGATGATGAATTATTAACACTAGAAAGACTGAAACTTAGTATGTACCTATATTGCTCAAAGGCAAACAAAATGACTGCATTGTGATAGAATAACTAATGTGTAAAGAATTTGCTTAATTAATTTCTTATATTTTTTATATTATTGACAGTTATATAACAAGTTATTAGTAAATATTAACGATAAAAAAATTTACTTCACTTGGAAGGAAAATATTAATTTATGCATTATTATTTGTACATTTTTTGCAAATGAAAAAGCAGTTAAAAAGCAGTCAAAATGACTTCCTTTAGGAAACCTAGTGCTAGTAAAATGCCTATGATACGAAGGTCCGAACATTAAAATAAAAATCTTAACCTTAAAAATCTTTCGAAGGGCTAAAATTTGTGTCACTTACTCAAGATACAAATTGTTCTGCAGGACTTCGTTTGTTCTGCGACGTACGTCACAGTTTTAGGCACTTTCTGCTTCTGGACTTTAAGGTATATATTATTTTACCTCAATTTAATAAACATAATTTTAAATAATGAATTTCAAAATTTGAATAAGCCAAATAGTTTTTGAAAAATAAAAATGGCAAAATATGACTTCTTTGATGTTGTTGTAGTTCATTTACGTTGCACTAGAGCTGCACAATGGGCTATTGGCGACGGTCCGGGAAACATCCCTGAGGATGATCCGAAGACATGCCGAAGACACAATTTTGAACCTCTGCAAAGGGGATAGCAACCCCGCTTCAGTAGCACGACGATCTGCACGCGAAACGACTTCTTTGAAATTTTATTAGTGAGACATTAGGCAACTAATTTAACTCTATAATTTAAAATCACATACTTTAAAAGGATGTAAAAAATTTATATCATACAATTCAAAATATTTTTGACCATTTTGTATATTTTGTAAAATAAAAAATAATTATTGTATAATTTTTACACTTCTTTGTTTTTTTTCCACACCTTTGGATAATCATATTTTATAATTGAGTATAAAACTTTTCAATTTGTTTAAAATATTTCCAAGATGTTGAGAGATATGCAAAAAGTAAAATTAAGGCTTCCAAATTTTTGACCACTTTCTTCAAACCTTTAAGATTGAGTCCTATAAAGTGAAAATTTGATAATTATATCAATAACTATTTAGGATGTTAAATTTTTCCTCCACTATACACTTATTACTTAAAATAACTCATTAATATCAAAGTTGAAACTTCTCTATAATATTTTGAATATTAATATAAGATGCATTTAAACAATTCAACGCCTTTAAATAAAGCAACTTTCAACAACAACAAAAAAACTTAGCTAACAAATCATTCAATATTTTTTCTATCACTATAAAAAGAAAACTTAAGTTAAATGTAAATAGATTTTAACAACTAATAAAAGTAGAAATGTGTTACAATTGAAAATAAATATTTGAAAGCAAGAAATCAATACTTTTTTTAAAGTATATTATCTGTTTTGAAAAATTAAAAAGGAGCCAAAAGTACTCTAAATACTTCAGCACAAAGAAAATAACTAAATGAAAAAAAATGTAAAATAGTGCTTAATACTTACTATTATGCATTCAGGATTTTTTCGGAGGAAATCAACAGTTGTAATCTGAGAAGCTTTTCCTTTATAACTTGGACTGTCATGAAGCATTCTCGCTGCTCTTTGTATACCAACACCTACAGGTTGATTCCTTATAACTTGAACCAGAAAATGAATAACCTATCAGAAAAAAGTACAATTATTTAATATTACCATAATTTATTGAAAAAAAATGCTTTACAAAATTTATAATTTATGTTACAGTGAATTCGCGATAACTCGAATCTGATAGGACTGACGAAAAACTTCGACATATCGGAAGTTCGACTTACCGTTAGTTTCGGTTTTGGACTTTCAAAATATTGTCGGATTATTTAATTAATGCTTATTAATTACAAATCTTCTAAATGCTTACAATATTTAAGATCATTTTTCTGACAAGCCATTTACGATAAGACTGTTTGAAGCACTTTATGATACCCTGGTCCATCGGCTGCAACTTTGCTGTTGTGTTTGGCGGGAGAAACTGCAAGTTTACTGCTTTCAAATTAGGTAGATCACTATGCGCTGTGCATTTATCCATAAAGAGTATCACTTTTCTTTTTTTAGCGAAGAATTTCCGATCCAATTTTCTTACATAGTCTTCAAATAAAACTGATGTCATCCAAAACTTTTTGTTAGACTTGTAATCCAAAGGATACGTTTTTACATTCTTGAAACATCGGGGATTTCGGTATTTTCCGATAACAAGTAAGGGCAATTTCTCTGTCCCAGACGCATTTCCTCCAACTAGGACAGTCAAACGTTCCTTGCTCATTTTACCCCCTGAGCAGTTTTCATCCTTAAACATCATAGTCTTATTTGGAAGACATTTAAAAAATAAACCCATTTCATCAATATTGAAAACATCATTTTAACTGTATCCTTGAAGTAAATTTGGTAACGTTTCATTTAACCACTGTTCACATACTTCAAGAGGGACAGCTTTAGCTTCTCCATGAAGAGTGCGAAAGACATTGTGTGTGTGTTGCAAAGGAAGGGGCAAGATATCAGCTCCTAGGTTTTTTTTCTTGCTTCAAAAGATCCCAAAAAAAATCGAGTTAAAGGGAGTAAAATTCGAGTAATCAAGAGTAATTAACATGAAATTGAAGATAAAAGGGTCGGGACCTCATAAAAAAATCGAGTTATAGTAATATTCGAGTTATCGTACTTCGAGTTATAGCGAATTGACTGTATTATTAATTAAATTCAACAACAACAAAAAATTCCCCATTACAACTCAGTAAAAATATAGCAACAGGAAATTTTCTTAAGGTATAAACACAAATGAGTAATGTAAAAACAACATAACAAACAAATAAAATAATTGATATGATTAATTTTTGAAATTTTAATTTGATGAACAAAACATGAATAAAATGATTTTCTTTTAAAGGAAAAATGTTTAAAACTTAATTTTAGAACACATTTATTAATTTCAGAACACATTAGAATAAAAGAAAAACTGAAAAAAAACTTAGTAATTTTAAGCTCTAAAAAGAATTTATTTTTTAGTTTCATTTAAGCAATTTTTTTTTACAACTCTTTTAAGCAACTCTTATCTATTTATTTCCCGTTTGTTTAATATTAACGAATTCAGAAACATGATACACAATTTTGACACAGCAGCAAATAAAACAATTTTACTGTACAATTATTTAACTTATTGTAAACAACCAGGTCCTGTCACATAATCAGGTGCAAATGCACCACAGCTGGACATAACTCGACACATAAACCTGAAAAAATGCATTATAAACAAATATGACCCACATAGAATAGGGATATTCAAAAAACTTTTTTGGAAGACTGGAAAATTTTGATTTGTTTTTATAAAAATGATGCAAAGCTTAGATATTTTAATATCAAACATTTTAAAAAATTATTTCTGTTTCATGAATAAAATTTAATAAACAGTAAAATAATCATATCTTTTAACGAACAAATGAAATAATTAAAATGCAGAACTTTTATAAAAGTTATCACTGGGTTAAAAACTGCTAACTATAAGTGATTACTCTACTATATATTTATCTTTCATCTACTTAACAAATATAAAATTTTTGAGTATTATACTCAAACCTTCACTAATATATTAACCAAGACAAAAAAAAAAGTTTTCAATGGTTTTTTTAAAGCATAGTTAATAAAACAAAGTTAGAAAAAAATATATTTATTATTTCAATTATTTACAAACCTCAAAACGTAAATGAAATAAATGAACTATTCTCAAATAAAATAATACTAGTGCTGTTTTCCTACTGCAATTAAAGGATATTAGTACTCCTCAATAAAATTAATTTTAAATATAGATAAAACAAACCACCCAAGATTTGAGAGTTTAAATGAAACCCGGGAGCTATTCACTTAAACTCCATTGCACTAACACATTTTGAAAATAAGAAGTAATGCAGCCCATGATATTCAAATCTCCGAATCTTTGTGAAATATAATCTTCAGTTATCTGAAAAAACAGGCAAATTATAATGCAAAGTTCAAAAACACAATCTATATAACATAAAACATTAATATGTATGCATATGTAAAGAAAAGTTTCTTTTCTTGCAATGGCTCAGCTATGAACTAAGCAGAAACGAAAAATTAAAAGCACTCTGTTTTTACATATATAAAAAAAAAATTATGTTGTGATTTTAATAGAGTTTATTTATTTATGCAAATTACAAAGCATCCTAAATCTTTATTTTAGTTTTAAAGGTGCTTGATAATTTAGCAGAAAGAAACATATTAATGAAAAAAGAGAATATAATCAGCTCCCGCGGCAGAATCGCGGCAATATTGTCGCAGAATATTATAGAGTTCTTGCAGGAAGAATCATCTTTTCGGAAGTAAAGAATTTTCGTTTTTCAGAAATAGTAAAGAATTTTGGTTTTTTACAGAAATTTTTTATCTCTAAAATTATAAAATTAAAGATGCCTTTTTCGCACATCAGAGAGGAAAGAAATGTTCATGATTTTTTTATTCTTATATCAGAAGAATGAAAAATATAGAATAATGAAGTAAAAAATGTCTTTTCTACAGAAATGTTGGAAGATTTTTTTCTTCTCCAGAAATCATTATTTAACTACTCATTTTGCGACGATATTCTCGTTAATCCACAAGTTATTTCAGCCGTTCTTTAAAACAGTTATTGCAACGAATTTTTGCTTTGTTTTTTCTAAATCCTGATTTCTTATTATTTACATTCTTATGAATTTTTGAAATATACCAATATAACGGAATGCGAAATTTGAATTGCGGATTCTGAAAATCATTCTTTGACACGTTCATTTTGTGCCAATATTCTCGTTAATCCATGCGGTATATTTAATTGCCGTGATTTCGCAGTTGAACTTTTTTCAGGTGTCACTGCTACGGATTACACGATTTTCAATTTATTTATTTTTTATATGATCATGATTTACGAAATTCGAAAAGGAAATAATTAGTGTGTTTTCTTGTTTAGTAAAATGTGAGAATCTCACCCATGATAATAGAATTAAAAAAAATTATTACATATTCATTTAAAAATTAATTACAATTTTATTTTATTCAAATAGGTTGTTTTTTTTTTTTTGTAAACACAACATTTTTGTTACTTTAAATTTAGTTAGTAACATGTATATTTGCTATTATTAAAATCATCTTGCAAAAAGATATTAGTGCTAGAGAGGTTTGTTGCAGAAAACCTAAAAAAATTCTGCCATTGGGTAACCAGCATACTTCTTATGTTGAATGATGTTGCTTATTGATTAAATCTAAATTTATGTTATATCCCTGAAATACTGCTCTTGTTTCACTTTATAACTACTTAGAAATCGACAAAATTAATTTTATACTTCAATTCCTCATTAAAAAACTATCCGCAAACAGCTTGATTGGCAAGAAGTACTTCAGGTACTTTTGTTGTCAGTGCAAGTGTAGCTACATGAGAGTTTTGGGGAATCATGGAATTTATCATCGGAGTTTTATCTAAAGGATTAGAGTTTTTTCAGATGTGATGTGTTTAGTTTTGACTTATCTCGTATCTGAATATGAGATTAGAATGTTAGGTTGTTTTTTTTTAAGTTTTCCTTTTTAAAGATTGTCCTTGGTTGGTATAGGGTTAGGTTTTATCAGAGTTTTGTTTTAAGTGAATCAGCTAATCAAAATTTTACTTTTGGTGGGAGGTCTGGTTGCCTTATTTTGCCTATAATCTGAAAATGCTCATTTCTGTATTTATTTTTGTTTCCTAATTTCATTGTCAGCATCTACATCATTCAATCCACCCTCACATTTACTTTAAGAAAAAAGTCTGCAAGTTCACCAACGCCTGATTATGTAAGGCATAATGTAATTCAGCTTTGTGGCTCTGGGCTTGCCGCGGACTTACAAGTCTTGTCGATCGAAAACTCTGATCTCTGAAACAATTGAAAGAAGAAGTAGAATCTCTGATGTCAGTAAGAAGTTATTTTACATCAAGAACTGTAATTATCGTGTTGTCAGATAATTGCAAAACTGAACCCTTATAAATCAAAACTTGTTGCATAATTCATGTAAACTATTAAAGCACACAGCATGAACACGTTGCAAAATGAAAATGGTAGAAAATTATTTTAGAGTTTCAGATAAATAAAAGTCTCGGAAGTATGTCTTGAAAAATTTACTTTGAAAAAGAGTTGGGAGTTTCCTAAAACAATACAAAAGCATAAAGTAGTTTATTGCAAAACTAAATTAAATTCACTTCTTGCTTTCTAATTTTTATTTACTTCAACCAAGACGGATTTACTTTTAAATTTATATATGTAGAGTCTAATAAATATGGCATCTACTTTTCTAAATGAATTAAGATTTCAAAAATTATTTCGTTTAAATTAAAGTTTATAATCCAATGCTGAATCAGAGCTCATTCTAGGCAGAAAAAAAGGGCATTATTATTCTAAAAAGGCAATAATTTCTTTATATGGGTTTTACACGTTCTATTAAATAACATTGTCAATTAGTTAGTGTCAATTAGTTTTTTTTTTTTTACTTCACTAAAAGTAGCAAAGTGATCATATTAATTACTAATTTTTATTAATAAATTGACATATATATAGAGTTAATGAGCTAATTAGCTTAGTAATTTATTTAAAATGCATGCATATATTAATAAAATAAAAAATGTATATTTTTGAGTGTCTGTAGTTATGATTTAATAAATAATATGATTAATAATAATTATGATTTAATGATAGTGGAAGTAACTGCAAACTTTCAAAGACATGTACAACAAGGGGGTGTGATGGCTATTTTTCCTTTCCCATATAAATCTATGTATTGACAGCAATGACAAACTAAATAAAAAGAGTTAAAAATAACAAAAGTTTAAGAAATCCATTGTAGAGTTTGGGGAAAAAATAAAGAAGGGTTAAGAGCAAAAAGGGTATGGAGTCTATTACATCAGGACACTAATTTACTTCAGGGGCAACAGGGTGAATTCTTTTGACTAAAAGGGCACCAGGGTGCTGTGCCCTGTTTACCCTGCCTAGAATGAGCTCTGGCTGAATAACTATCATAAAACAAAAATAAAATGTTAAAAGCTAAAAAATTAGTTTAAAATTCAGAACTGTTTGAAATTTTTTAACTGCAGCATCTTACGGATATACATTTATTAACCTATATACAGCATCTAGGTAATGACAAATATAAAATTAAAAGACTTAAAAAAAACAAGGGCTGCAATAATATATTACACAAAATAAATATCGTTAAAATAATTTCATTCTAAAAAATAAATCATTAAAAATTTTCTAACATACTTTTTCTATAACTTGTTCTTGTTGTTTATGCTTTTGTCGCATATTAGTTAATTCTTTCCACAGGAGTTCATTTTCTTGTTTCATTTTCATAAGCATGTTATCCATACTATCTTGCTTATCTCTAATAGAAGTAAGATCAGTTAATATATCTTTAGCATTTGATTTTGAATGAGGCTCAGCAATGACTCTTGTATTTGGAATCTGTAAATATATACAATAACCATAAATAAATATCGTTTATTAAAAACAAAATTTTTATTACTTTTTAAAATTTTGTTAGACTTTCACTCTTAGCTCACGGAAAAGCAATTGGAAAAAACAAAATTTTCACATATTTAATTTTGTAAACTATGCAAATTATGCTATATAATAATCTATAATGAAATTCGAAGAAAAAAAAAAACTTGTATTGTTTCAAGCTTTCTTTTAAAAAGTACAAAAACTATTTATAATATTCCTTGAAAGTTTGTAAATTTATAAGATATTTAAATCAGACTTTTTTCATTAGTATTGATAAAATACAAATTAATGAAAAAAATCTTTTTAATTTTTTTCACACAAGCACAGAATAAAAGAATTAAATGATCATATCTTGTAGTACAGTTTAAAACTCATTTTTCTTTCAAATTTTAAAACAATTTTTAAAGTAATTTTAAATTTCTCCAAAAATTTTGTTTAATTTTATTGAATATTTATCAAAGTTATAGCAAAAAAAATGAAAGACTAAAAAAAAAGCACTTTTTATAAAAATATCCATTCTATTAATATTTAAGCTAAGTCGACGAAATTTTAAGCAGTTATTACAAATAACAACCAAAACATTGCAAATAACTGATATAAGTTACATACTTATTGCTTGATTTTCTGGCACAGAGTATTCAAAAATAAAATGCTTTCGTAACTTATTGTCAGTCCCTCAAACATCTGCTTTAACCGTCCTTATTGCTAAGTATGAAAAATCGCATGAACTATTAACCTCTACAATTTGCAAAATAATGCTCTAAGTATTTCTTGAGAAATTTAAAAAAAAATTTCAAAAAGTGTCTTTTCCATTATTGTAGGGTGCGAAATTACATAAAATATCTCAGCGAAAAATAAGTGGAACGGGTGCATAAAAATCAGATAGTTAAGATTAAATACAAAACCTTTCTTTTAATATGTTCTAGAAGATCACTTTGTTCTCTAAGAAAAAAAGAATGCTGGAACTCCATCTCATTGTTGTCAGTCCTTAATCCTGATCTTTCATAGTTCATAACTTTTCTAAATCCATCTAAAAAAACATTTAGAAGATAATCATTATTTAATAAAATATTATGTTTTATTTTTATTTATTTCATTTTTATATTTTAAAAATAACATTCGATAGAAATAAAAGAAAAAATGATTTATCACATTTTGTAATTAACTATTTAAGACTCAAAATAATAATAATAATAAAAAAAAAAATTACTTACACATATTCAATTGCCGAACAAAGCTTGCCATGTTACTATGTTTAAAGTACTGAGGGAGCAGCTCACTGGCAAATTTTGCCTGGTCTTTTATGATGAAACTTAAACCATTCTGAAATTTGAAATGTGCATTACTTCATAAACAGTTGAAAACTACTTATTAATAACTTTAATATTAAGCATGAATTTACAAAGGAATTATCATGAATTGAACGAATCAAAGAGTGATAACTTTAATTTAAATGTTGTCATAACATCGAAATAAATTATTATTGACACATTGTAACATTAAAATTGAATCTTAACAAATTGAATGCATCAGAAAGAGATAAATCAAAAACGTAATCCGAAAATCATAACATTGTATTAAAAACATCAGAATTTGAAAAACAATGCAAAAAAGGCTGAAAAAGTTATAAATAACTCTAGAAAAAACTATAAAACAATGTGAAATTACGATGAAAACGTCACAAATCGAACTCATTAAAAAGTGATAACTCAAAATCAAGATTCAAGCGATGTAATAAATTAGTATTAAAAATATTTGAACTAGAAAAACCATGTTAAAAGAGCAAAAAAAAAAATATAAATAATTGCTGATAAACTATCATCAAAAGACGTAAAATTATAATAAAATCATCACACACTGAACACTTTGAAAAACCATACTGAAGCAGCCAAAAACAATTAAAAAAATATGTAAACTAACAACAAAAAAAACTGAATCTTCTTTATATAAACTGAGTGTTAAGAAATTTCTTTATATAAATAGTGTTCTTTACACAAACAGTGTTAAGAAATTATAAAAACTGAGTGTTAAGAAATTTCCAGAAAAATAAATTCCATTCTTTAGAAAAATAGGCCCTAAAAACAAAATCTGAACCAAACCCAGGATATTATAGTGGTGCTTTATAATTTACATGTGAAACAGCAATCCCCAGGCTTCTCGAGAGTTCTTAATAACAAGTTTAAATAATCCCTATATCAAGCTTTGGTGATAGAGGATTAAGAAAATTTACATAAGAAAACATTAATGATTTGTAAAACACTATTTATCCAAATAAATTTCTTAATCAAGAATAAGAATAGACAATCTGAAGTCCATCCACCCTCCTGTCTGTTACTAAGTCTAGCAACCAATAACCATTTTCAATTTGAAAGTCTTAAGTCACAAAGCCATGGTATGTTATAGTTTTGTGAAATTATGTTCCATGCCAAATGGACGAAAACAAAACTCTAGTGAAGAAAATGTATTCTATGGGAAATGTTGGTACAAAGATGGCATGCTTAGCCCTCACTAAATCTAACTCCCCAACTTTTCCACATTTTGACTAAAAAATTTTAAATTCCCCTATATTTTCCGGATTTTTTTTGGACAATTTCCAAATTCCCTGACTTTTCCCAGTTTTCCAGGTGGCGTAGCAGCCATGTCATTCCCTCACTGTGGGAAAATGACAATTTTGTAAGAGATGGTGATGTAGTTAAAGATGTTGATGTTTGTTTTTTCTCTTTTGCTTCACTTTGTTATCTTTTAAGCCAGTTAAAAACTGCATACATAAAAAATATGATTTTAAACATGTTTAAAACTAAAATTATTGTTCCCACACCACGTTATCCCCTAAATTAAATATATATATATTCTTGTCTAGTACATTCTCCTGTATCATATTACATAAAACTAGATATTTATTACTTTTATTCTTGTTCGCACTACCTAAAAATAGCCTATATGCAAGGAGTGACCCATTTTTATTCTGAGATTATTTTGTTCATAACACTGTTAGACATGAAAAAATCTCACAAATTGTCTGTTGCTTTGGCTAATGTTTTTTGAGGAATGATTTGAGTGAATTGATAAATTGGAAGAATGCTAGTTCATTGCAATGTAATTTTTGTTTCATAGCTTATGTTTTTTCATACTCTATGCAATATACACTTTAAATTGAAATAACATTCTTGATATCGCAAATATGAGCATGAGCATTTTATAATCTGAGATTAAATGAAATCTTAGATTGACTAATCAACAAGGAATTGGATGTTAACTAAACAGATAGAGATTAAACAAGATACAATGAACTAGAAATTTTTCCTGAAGAAAAAGAGTACAGCAGAACTGCTGTAGATATAACCTTCCTTGAAAGGTCATTTTTTTTCCCCATATCCTTCTTTCAAAAAAAGTTACGTGCATCCTTGCTTTATACATACAATCAAACTTATTATTCATTAATAATTAAAAAGAAAAATTAAAACAAGATGGTTAAAGGTGGTGTGAGGACAAAATAGAACTTTTGAATGGTCAATGTGTGGCCTTCTAACTTCAAACTAAAAGTTATTTGAACAAAGCTACATAAGCAAACAAATTTACATAATAACCAAATTTTTATCATTAATCTAAAATTGAGGAAGCACTAATAAAAATTGTCAAAAGATTTCAAATGTTCATGATTTTTTTTTTTTTTTTTTGATTTTTTAACATAAATTTTCCTTAACTAAAACATTTTTAAAACAGGTTTAGTTAAAGAACTTATTTATATTAGTTTAAGATAAAAATAAATTATGTTTACAAAAAATATATAAAAATTAATGTCTCTACAGAGAAAGATGTTAACTTGGCATAATTTAACTTTAGAAGACAGAATGTGTAAAATTTTTTGTTTTAATAAAAAAATATATATGTAATTACATTAAATTTCTTAATTCTTGAGATAAATAACTGATGCTCTTAGGCAAAGGAATAATAAAACTATTAGTTAGTATAAAAACTAAATTTATAAATGCTCCCAAAAGTCAGAAGTATTTCTTTGTGGCTTTCTTTAGGAAAAAAAAAAAACTAGTGCACTCTTTATCTAAGCAAGCAAAACTGGCCCTTTAAGCTGAAAGTTTAGTATTAATTTGTAAAATTTATTGAACTATTAATTTCATAAACACTGATTTAAAATAGTGTTGATAATTAACTTAATTGGCTGTATATTTTTGTTGATGATCAAAAGAAATAAGAATTCTTATTATTATAAACTTTTGTTATAGAATAAGTTAAAATTCCTCAAGCTATTAATCAGTTTCGAACTTGTTTTCCAGTTGTCATCACGCGGAAATCCACTCATAACAAAAAACACATCAATGTTTGTGAAATCGATTAGAATCATAATGCAGCTTAAACAATAAGCATCGACCTAAATACTTTCAATGGAATATTTTTAATAATTCTGAAAGAAATCTGAAGCATATTTCTAGCTAACATGTAGTATACCTTATAAACAGAGTTATAAGTTGTCAATTAAAAACATTAAGTAATGAGCTGAAACTTATCACGTTCTTAGCATCTATTGAATGTTGCAGAATTTATTATATGGATATAAGTTTGCCTCCTTTTTCCAAATTTAAACAAGCAATTTCAATAACAAGATAAGAAGCTTAATATTAGAAAACGTACTTCTAGTTAAACATAAATGTCACTTCACGGAAATATATAAATACATTTAATCGCCGGAAGGTAACAAGTCTTTCGCAAATGTGCGCAATACAGTTATATAACTTAAACTCGGTATTCATAAACAAAAATCTATAGAAATCAAATGCATCGGGTTTATATGATACATATAAATTACCAACAAAAAGTGAAAAATAGGTACAATGGCAAAATAACCCCAAAACTTACATCACTCCAGGCAATTAAATCGTCGCATGATGGGTCTTCAACTAACTTCCACAGCTTTATAAGAAAAGCTGGGACATTAGAAGTATTCACTTCAAAAGAATGCATTGTCTAAGGAAAAATTCAGAGTATTAATCAATTATTCCTTGATATGATTATCTTCGTAGTTTAAGAGTAATTTTCCGCATATTATATTGTTTTGCATTGCACGGAATATAAATATAAACATAACTCAATAGTTGTTGCCAGATCCATATTTATGAAACAACTCAGCTTTGCTACAGATTTACGATAGCAACGCTCGTATACGTCAACTGAGGAAAACACCAGTTCCATGTTCTCAATTGCATTGATGCATAAACGATATTTATACAATAACATAACGCATAATGATATTTATATTTGCAAAATACATTTCAAATTTAACGCAATGTACTGATCTCTAAGATATGGTTCTTAGTAAAACACTGAAGTTAAGCATCACTGTCAGTGTACAGGTACAATGGCGTACATAGAGTCAGGTGAGCCCCCCAGCAAGATTTATCAATGCGCCCTATCTTAAACTCAGCACAATATTTTTAAAATTACGATATGAAACAAGAGCACGATGAAGAAACATTCGGATACTTGTAATCATTCATTTTATTTCAATATAAATATTTCAATATATATATTTTATTTTATATATTTTTATTTTAATCATTTTAATATTAATTAATAAGGTGGAATTTAGAAAAAATACGATATTAAAACATTGTGTACACATACCACTTTGAAATGAAATTTATCTTAAAGATTTGAGAAAAGAGCTTACTATCTTTCAATAATTATATCAGTCTAGTTAAGGGTTAATACTCATTTGTAAAGTGAATGAAAAAAATCTTATAAAATATTTTTATTGTAACTCATATAGTAGGGATACACATCCTTTTTTACTGAAGGGCTACATGGTCAGGTATTTGGACATGTCAACAGAAATCATGGTAATTTTACAGTAAACAGCAGGACACAATTCCTTTTATCAGTCAACTTAGGTACACATTTGGATAAAATTAAATTCTTTCAAACATTAAAATCACTTCAAAGCCGAAGAATTGGCGATCGAAATGGGTTGCAGGTGGCGTCGAGCAGAACGCTCTACCTATGGCAACACTTCACATGTATTAAATACGGTGATATGATCTCTGATCTCGGGGTTTTCAATCATAACAAACGCCTTTTAACATAATATATATTTAATAACAAGAAGGATGATGATGATGGTACAGTGTTATGGAGGAAACTGATTAGAAACTAATGATTTTACATTACTGCGCAGAGCGCCATCTATTGAGCTTTAGAAATTATAATTAATATGGAGAAATAAATAATATTAACACTTCCCCCCGATGAACTCTTAGTTCATAACAATTTAATCATTTCATATATTCATCAAAGTTATTTTTCTCAAAAGTAAGGTACCAATACTTAACAAATAATATAAACTTACCTTTTTACAATATGAGCCCTTCTTAATTATATAAAAGATTATAATGCAATACTATTAATCAAATTCTTAAAATAATATGTTTCATGAGCATTAGTTCAAACCTTTAACAAACTGTTACCTTTTAAATGAAATTATTGAAATTTAAGTAAATATCAATTGATGAAATTAAATTATCATATCATAAATAATAAATCAAGCAATTTTCACAACACAAATTCTTTCACATGCAAAATATTTCAATTTTAAACAAACATGCAATTAAACAAGAAAATATATATGTACGCACATTTTCTTTAAATCAAAAAAGTTCAAATAA